GTTGATCTCAATTAAAATGCAGAACATAAGTCTTGAGAGTCACAGACTGACCGACCTTAGGCCGCAAATCTGCTGAGCTATTTTAAATCAATATGTGCAAGTCAAACAACTCTCCAAGCTTCTTTTCAGTAATAACACACAATTTTGCCGTGTGTTAGGGTTTTCCCCCTACACACACTTCTTTCTCTTTTGCTTCCTGCCAGCCAGAGATCTGTCCCTCTGCCACCTTTCCCTAGCTGACTCCAATGCAGTTCATTTGTCATATGGGCAACTCAATCCCTATATGTTTTCGCCAGTTTTCACTTCCTTTGTAGAAGGTGCATGGATGCTTCTGGGTTTACCCCAAATAAATGCTGGGTTTCAAATCCTCGGGGCACCACCAGGTTCAGACCCGTATGTGTACAAAGCACTTAGGTGTGAAGATCATGGCATGATTGTGTTCTTCTTCTCCAGTGTGGGGGCTTGGAGAGGAGCTGGTGCATGGGCTGGTGAAAGTAATGGGGAGGAGAGCCAGTAAGGGGTTGGTGAGGCAGAGGGGAGCTAGTTGAATGAGGGCAGTGCTGGGATTGAGAACCAGCATGGGGAGCTACTATGGCTGAGAGAGCTAACGCCGAGCACAGCAGCCACCTATTTTGCTTGTGGGGCCCAGTGCTTTGGAACTTTTGTATCTATTTACAGTGTGGATTTTGTGTGGGGTGGAACTTTTAGGTGTAGCTTTATAGGTGACTGCTTTGTGTTTTCACAGTGTGAGCATTTTACGTCTTATTATGTGGCTGTAATGTATGACGCGGGTGGCGCTGTGGGTAAAAGCCTCAGCGCCTAGGGCTTGACGATCGAAAGGTCGGCGGTTCGAATCCCCGCGGCGGGGTGCGCTCCCGTCGCTCGGTCCCAGCGCCTGCCAACCTAGCAGTTTGAAAGCACCCCCAGGTGCAAGTAGATAAATAGGGACCGCTTACTGGCGGGAAGGTAAACGGCGTTTCTGTGTGCTGCGCTGGCTCGCCAGATGCGGCTTTGTCACGCTGGCCACGTGACCCGGAAGTGTCTGCGGACAGCGCTGGCTCCCGGCCTCTTGAGTGAGATGGGCGCACAACCCTAGAGTCTGTCAAGACTGGCCCGTACGGGCAGGGGTACCTTTACCTTTACCTTTACCTAATGTATGATCAGTGTTTTTGTGTCTGGTTTGTGTTGGCTTTTGGAAAAGAAAGGGTGTGGGTGTGTGTCTACTTTCATGTTTATCTGATGTCAGGCGTGTTATTTGGCATTTGGGGCAGAAGTCCCAAACTCTGCCTTGGACTCTTGGCCAAGTTATTTGTCCTTTGTGACTTGCTAGGCCAACACTGGCCGCCATTTTGTGACTAGCTAGGCCCTACAGTGGTCATTTTGTGATGGTTCCCATAATGCTTTTCCCCGATTTCCAAATGTGCTCAGTTTCTCCTCAGAAAATTGGAGGTCCTGTTTTACGCCTATACTCTCTGCTGAGGCTTTCAGATGAATGCATGGAAAGTGGGAAAGGGGCCAGATAACTGAAGTTAGAAAAGCTTACACAACGGAATAAGAGAAAAGAAAGAAAAGCAAAGGATTCTGGAGGGGAAAGGGGTGATAAATTATCAGCAATGGTGCAAGCTAATGTGCCAAAAGCATCCTTGGAAAATTCACACTACACACACACAAAGGCCTGGCAAGTTTACTACATCCATTGTTATAATGTAGTTGGCTCCTAGCAACTTTGGGCAGCTTTTGTTGCTATTTTTACTTCATATGCCAAATCACATAGTACCTATTATCCTCACAGTCTTATTTGCAGATTTTAATGGGAGTGTGTCAGCTAGTACTGGTCTTTGTATGGTATATCTGAGCCTTAAGGTGTTATCTCCTCCCCTCCTCCTTAACATTTTCAAAGTGTTATTGTTCTATTTTTTGTTGCTGTTAAACCTGAGTGTTCAATTATGATGCTGGAGAGAACAACAACCCTCCCCTCCAAAACATGCCTCTGTTTACTCATGGGTATCTTGTAATTTTCTGAAGGTCATCTTAAATCAATCCTTTTATTACTATTATTCTGTTTATCGGTTCCTATGGCTTTATTGACTCATTCTGATCAATCTAATAAATTTGCAATTTCCTAGTCTCCATTAAAATTATATATTGCAATGAATATTTGTGTGTGTGTGTGGTTTAATACCTGCTTGAAAATTGGAAAATAGAACTGCAAGAGGCTGATTCAAGTTTGCACATAAACTACTCAGTACTTGTTCCTCAATGCACAGTTTTACAATGCACAGGCATAAAAAAAAATCCATTTTGTTTTCTACATGCCATACTTTCATTCAAACATCAAACCAATCCATGGTTGTATTAAACCTAACCATGATTAGAGTTCCAAGGGAGGTAAACTATAGTTTAGAGTCGCTTTCCAGCTTTCATTTTCCACCAGCTCAACACCATGGTCTCTGGATGTGGAATATTGCAGGGTAGAAGAACAGCTGTAAATAGACTTTTGTCATTTTAGCCATCACAGAAAACCATAGTTAGTACAAATTACAGTCTGCTTGTCATTACCAGATTGTTATTAATATACAGTAAACTTAAAACAAAAAATATAAAATACAAAAGGAATCAGCAAATATAAGCATTAAATCAACTTACACCTGCAGTAAGTTAAAATTCCTATGGATTTCAATGCAAAGACACCTTCGTATCAGAAAGTTTTTGTTTGTCAAACTGTTTTCTTCTGTATGTATGGGTTTTTCTGAGAGTTCTGCTTAGAGTATTTTCTGTGTGTTTTATACAGTGGTACCTCGGTTTATTAACTTAAGCCATTCCTTAAGTCCGTTCTTAAACCAAATCTGTTCTTAAACCGAGACACGCTTTCCCTAATGAGGCCCTTCCACCGTTCGGCTTCCGTTTGTAGACCGAGGTAAAGTTTGCAAACTGGGACACTACTTCCGGTTTTGCGGAGTTCATAAACCGAATAGTTCGTTAACAGGGCTGTTCGTAAACCGAGGTACCCCTGTATTTATTTCTTGCTTTTCCTCCCAGGATCTCAAAGTTGTGAAGTTGTGCACATTATCCTCCCTGCCCTGCTTCTACCTATCATCTATCTATCTATCTATCCATCTATCTATCTATCTATCTATCATCTATCTATCTATCATCTATCTATCTATCATCTATCTATCTATATCTATCATCTATCATCTATCTAATCTATCTAATCTATCTATCTATCTATCTGTCTATATCATCTATCTATCTATCCAGGAAATCCTGATGCGTCCCAGACTTCAGGTAAAATCAGTGCAAGAATGTGATGGAAGCTGAATCACACCCACCAGCACAGCTAACTGTAAGGTCTGGGGCTTAGATTTGGTTAGGTTGGCAGAGAATCTGGGGGTGGCATAGGTAAGGCGATAGTCATGTGGACCAGAAGCAAGAGGCATTGTCATGAACAAGCTAGAGGCCAGGTAATGAATTGGAAAGATGAAGCAAAGGAGATGCTCTGTTACTTGGTGATATGAGGTGTTCAGACTCTCCAGCTGGCCTAGAAGGAAGACATTTGTTGGGCTGTCTGACTCTCCATTGTGTTGGAGGATCATCTAGCCATCTTCAGGCTGCAGGGTGCACTAACAAAGGCCAGGACAACAGTGCTGAGAGGGGCTCTTGCCCAACAGGACCTAGTATGGCAGACTAATTCTGGTTTTCCTCCACGGGGTACCCTCCAGATGTGTAGGTCACGGATTATGGTCACCAGCACCCAGAGTGCTGGTGGCACAGGACATTAAAGTGCTGAAGTTTTGGCATGAAGGCCCCAGTTTAAGATTCCTCTGGGCACTTTATACTGCACGGCCATGCAATAATACAAATATTATTTGTTGCCAAATAATATTAATGTATGGTATTTTTCCATGTTGGCTCTATACAGACGTTTGAATCAATTAGTGAAGGTTAGGGAGCAGAATTAGAGTTTGACCAAACTGCGGGAGGCAGTGGAAGACAGGAGTGCCTGGCATGCTCTGGTTCATGCGGTCTCGAAGAGTCGGACACGACTAAACGACTAAACAACAACAACAGGGAGCAGAATTAAGAAGCAATTCCTTTCCTCCCATCCACACATTGAATAGGGTTTATGTACTTACTTTAACACGCATGCAGTTACAAGAGTTAGCTAACAGCTCTATTACATTTCTGGATTTCATTCTGAAGATTTCATTCAAACAAGGATCCTTCCTCCCTCCCCCAGTTTACACACAAACTGATAAAGCATTTCAAATCAAATCCTAAAATTTAGGCCTATATTTACACATTAAACATTCATGATTATTTATTTAATCCACCATCAATATGCTTATCACATTGCAGATGTTCCAAAATTAACAGTGCTGTAAAGATTTAAGGTTAAGCACAGTTCAGAGTCATTTCAAATATCCCTGGTATTTTAGTTTCTGCTCTGTTCATTTTATGTTATTAAATTGTAATTTCAAATATTTAACTTAATGAGGTATGTACGGGAGAGGGAATGGACACACACAAAAAAAATGTGGGGGCGATTCAGATGACAGGTGGAAACGACGAAAATATTAGAGAGGCAGGGAAGTGCAACAGTACTTCTCTTCAGATTAATGTTGCTATACTACCATTCATGCTGTTTAAGTCAAAACAACACATTTTGCACATTTTATTATACAGAAAGTTTTATTATGCGAGAAGTTATGTTATGTTGTTGTTTTCCATAGATTTTTTTTTATTTGAGAAAAAAAAAGATAATCCTTCTGCAATGCCCTCCAGTTAATTGTTTCAGCAGATACAAATTGTTCTTTGCAAATCTGTTCCTTTCCCTGTTTTTCTCATCTAAGTAGCAGAGAGCTATTACTTAGCTCTGCAAAAGCAAGGAACTCCTGCCAAGATGAAGAGGCCAGGAGGAATTCTTTCATCTCCCCCCTCCTTTTCTTCTTCTAGTGCAACAATAGATCTTTACAACCCACTTCAGAGTATATTGTGGTTCAGCCAGCATTTGCTATGCTCAAGGAATTTCTAATTTACTCACAGACCTAAGCACCAAGGAAAGGAAAAGCTAAAATGCAAAAGTGGCATTCCCAACAGAGAACTGTTTTGACCAAGGCAACTGTGAGCAAATTAGGATAGAAGAGGTATTTTTTATTATTATTATTATTATTATTATTATTATTATTATTATTATTATTGACTCACATTTGTATTCTGCATTCTTAGGTAAAAGGTAAAGGACCCCTGGCGCTCATCTCACTTTCAGGCCAAGGGAGCCGGCGTTTGTCCACAGACAGCTTTCCGGGTCATGTGGCCAGCAGGACTAAACCACTACTGGCACACGGAGGACCGTGACAAGTGCCAGAACACACAAAAACACTCTTTAACTTCCCACCGCAGCGGTACCTATTTATCTACTTGCATTGGCATGCTTTCGAACTGCTAGGTTGGCAGGAGCTGGGACCGAGCAACGGGAGCTCACCCCGTCGCAGGAATTTGAACCGCCGACCTTCGGATCGGCAAGCCCAAGAGGCTCAGTGGTTTAGACCCTCTCCCCACCAACAAAAGTTCTCCAAGTAGGAGGATACACAGGGGATGCTCATGGGGTAATGCTTCTGGACCGCTGTTAACAGAATATAAAAAAACTATTGGATTCTGGGTTCAACATCAAGGGTTGCCATGGTCAGGCATCCACTGAGAGCCCACAATGCATCGGGGTGCCTATGCAACTTACATTGTTATTGACTGGAAGTTATACATCTGTAGGGCCGCGGGTGGTGCTGTGGTCTAAACCACTGAGCCTCTTGGGCTTGCCAATTGGAAGGTCGGCGGTTCAAATCCCTGTGATGGGGTGAGCTCCCGTTGCTCGGTCCCAGCTCCTGCCAACATAGCAGTTCGAAAGCACGTCAAAGTGTGGGTAGATCAATAGGTACTGCTCCGGCGGGAAGGTAAATGGCACTTCCGTACACTGCTCTGGTTCGCCAGAAGTGGCTTAGTCATGCTGGCCACATGACCCGGGAAAACTGTCTGCGGACAAACATTGGCTCCCTCGGCCTGAAAAGCGAGATGAGCGCCGCAACCCCAGAGTCGTTCGCGACTGGACTTAACTGTCAGGGGTCCTTTACCTTTTTTGTACATCTGTATGTTCTTTATACTGTTTAACCTACTGCTAAAGTCCACCACAAACATAATGTGGGTCACAATGGGGAGGCAGTAGGTGAAAGGGAGAAATTGTCCCAGAATTACAGGAATCTCTGTTGTTTCACTGGATTCACTACAAGCCCAGCCAAACAGTGGGGCATTGTAGTGTCTGCGCAATGAGCAGTCTGTATTTTTGCATTAACAAAAATTTTGTGGTGTTAATTGATTGGCAACAAACCTCCTGCATGAACGCTAATGGGTGGAAGGTACTGTCCATGCAACTTCAAGGCTACAAGTCTCATCATCCAGTGTGGCATTGAGAGAAAAACATATAGAGCATATAACCAGAGGGATCTTTATCAGAGACATAGCTGGGCAAAACAAATTAAATCAAATCTGAAAAGGTGAATGGATTTTCTGCAGGGGCAATTTCAAACAGTAATTCACCCTGTGTGTTTTACCACCAACACCTGTCTAGATAGATGTAGCTCTCATCTCCGAGATAATGATATTTTAAAATATTTAACATTGTATGCATCTTTCTTCCATAATATTGTTTTTTTTATATAATGCCTCCTGTTTTTAGTACTAGCTGCAGAAGAAAACCCTTCATTCCTCTTGCATTTACAGTCATTCCTTAATTGTACAACACAAGCAAGATTGGGTAGCTGAGATCATCTCCGATTGTCACAACTAGATATGTTCATTTGGCCTGCATTTTAAAAGGAACAAACAGATTTGTGCTTTCTGGACAAACACATAGATCAGAAGGTCATTATCCTTCACATTTCGCAATACGGTTCTTAGCTTTTTTTCCTTTTCTTTTTGTAAGTACCAAAATGTGTAATGCCCACAAAAATAAGTATGTTAAGGTAAAATGCTTGTGAAAAATGTGTATTTTATGAAATAATGCCATTTTAGTGCATTTTTTAAAAAAACTGGAAAGAAAGCACAGAAATTGATGTGGGACAAAATGTGAATGAACACATGTGAGACAGACATGGACCAGAAATAGAATAATCTGCCTATCTCTGTTTCCTCTTTGGGGAAGGGTCTTGGCTCAGTGGTAGAGAATCTGCTTTGTACACAGAATGTCCCAGGTTCAGTCCCAAGCAACTCCAAGTAGGACTGGTAACGACTGAAATCCTGCAGAGATGCTGCCGGTCAGTGTGACAATACTGAGCTAGACAGTCCAGTGGTCTGACTCTGTATGGCAGCTTCCTATGTTCCTATCTACAACAAGCAGAGAAACCTGATGTGTCCTGTGATAGGTGAAGTCTGCATCTCCCCACTCTCTTGGCTAGACGGACACATTTCAAGATTGCTCTGTGTTTACTGATTTGATTAAAGTTGTAAAATTTGCTGTCTCTTTTTGAAAGACTGCACAACACTTTTATGTACCATGCTGCAGAAATGTTTCCTGTAGATGAATTTTAATAATAAAGTTGAATGACATACAAACACACAGTGTCTCTGAAATAATGTGTTCTAACACAGGTTATCAAGAGACAAGGCCAGGAATGGTGCTTCACATTTGCTGCTCGGCTGCTGCAAGGGACCAGGAAGCAATAACTTAGAAAAAAGCAACACACACAAAACTGCTTCCGCCACTGCCACCCATCAAGGTAAGCCCTCTCCAGGGACGGGGGCGGGGGGGGGAGGAATTTATCTTCCCTCTCTGAAAATTCTTCCCTTGTTCTCTGTCTCTTCCCCCCATATTCGGGGGACGGGGGGACGGGACAGGTGTACCTAGGCTAAAGCCTAATTAATCTAGCAATTTAGTTAAACAGAAGTATGGGAAGCTGATCACTCCTGTCTCCAGTTTCATGCTTGTTTTACACAGAGGCAACATTCAGGCCCCGCTTTACACCAGAACTGCAGGTAATATTTTGAAAAGTTGAGGCACTTCTGTAAGGTCTCTGGAAGGGATAGGATACAGGGCAACATGTTTCAGAACCGGGAAAAGTGAACCAGAACTTGACACTTTGTCCAATACACTGCTTGACTTCCAGAAAATGAGCAAAAAAATGAGGAGCGACAACTGTAGACAAAACCAGGCAAGGGTCAAGTTCCAAGGCAATGAGGGGGAAGTGAACAAGGGCTCAGGCATTATCATCACACCAGAGTCACATTGCTTAGACTACGGGTGCTTTCTAGCTACAAGGCTGAGTGGTTTTGTCTTTGCCCCATCGCTTCCCCCCCAAAAAAACCCCACTCTTTAGTGCTAAATTGGAACAAATGGCAAACCATGGATTTTCCCAGGGAAAAGCAATGGGGCAACTAGAAGGGCTTAATAGATAAGTCCTAAGGTGCAGGGTCTAAGGCAGCCTTCCCCAGCCTTGCATTCCCAGATGTTGCTGAAGTATAAATCCCATAATTTATGGACTGGTGGCTATGCTGGCTGGGGGTGTTGTGGGTTGCAGTTGTAACAGCATCAGGGAATCCTCCAAGGCTAGAGCTTTATAGGACTTTGCACTTGTCAAGATTGCCCTGAGGAAGGTTGGATGCTCAGGCAGGCTGGTTCTGCAACTGATCTCGCATCCCCAGGCCATGGATGGCATATGAGGTAAGATGTCAGGGCCTGACTGCTGGATGTCTGGGTTCGAGACAACACCCTTCTCCAGTTCTTTACAATTTCTCTGTTTTTGTTTTTATGCAAAATTGGCGATATGCAGGGCTAGTTTGACTTACAGCCTCAAAATCCCACAGCAGGCATGGTGTTTATATGTGGACTATAAAAGGTGGAGAAGAAATCAGTTTGCAGGCACTGTTCAGCTTATATTTGACCAAATGTCTACATGTTAAGCTACTATATTTGAAATTTAAGAACAGTATGATTTATAGGCGTAATAAATAATACATAACTTCTCCCCCAGAATCAATGAATAAAAAATAATTGATGTTGCGGTCTAGCCCATGCATTAGCTTCATTACACTGGAGTCGACCTAAGCTTGAAGATTGGAAGTAGCTGGCGTAGGGAGACACAATTCAGTGACCTCCCGTGCCACAAAACAAACCTACAAGGCACACTCACACCCCATTCTCACACAATGCACTGTGCAATCGAAATGATTAACCAACATGGAATCCAATGTAACTGGCATGTGGGATGGTAAGGAAACCACAAATCCCGCCAGTCTAGCACTTTTCACTGACAGACTATCCTCCCAAGAGAGGATTAAACCTCTCCCCTAGCAAGCCTGGAGACAGCTTTCTGATAAAAGAATTTTCCCTTCTCCTTTTCTTCTTCTTTTTTTCTGCTGGTTTTGCATAGGCGTCAGCTAAATCACAGTCTGCAAGCCTACTGGCCAATTAACAATATGAGATTCCCCCCTCTTTTTCCCCTTGAGCAGATGCTTCCTGAATAGCTACCTCAGCCTGACAGTTGCATTTTTTTTCTGTAGGAATGACAGTTTTAAAAAAGTGAAGAAACACAGCTTGGAGCAGTCCTCCCCCAACTTCCCCCAAGTACCAAGATATAAAGCCATTTAGAATGTAGAGATTTGCCTTTATTTCACCCTCTTCCCAACTGGTTGAGAACGGAAGGTGCAAGTGTGAAATTGCTGTTTTTGTTTGAGAGAATGTTCATCTTTAGCATCTCTTGTCAACTGAAAATACCAATTAACTATCAGATGGGGAGATGTCGTTAATGTGCTTATTCAACCAGGTTAGGGCTTTTGGGGGCTATTCCGGATTCGCGGATGGAATTTGGAACAGGGAAAAACTTACTCTGACTTAAGTTAAGACAGAATTAATTCTGCAGGCTCCTGATACTTAGAATTCCTCTCCTCAACGCTATACTTAATGGGCTTATGGGGAAAGCTCTTTAGGTGCTAAAGTGTATAATTTTATAGTGATGTATTTGAAGGTTCTCCTCATTCTGTTGGGTGGAGCGCTGGACCTTGATGCCACCATTAGTACATTGGCTTAGTTCCAAGGCTCATGTAGCTCTTTGGTAAATATAAGAGCATCCCTGCTGCTTCAGAACAAAGGCCCATATAGTCCAGCATCTTGTTTGCCACAGTAGCCAAAAAGACGCCTCTGGGAAGCCCAAAACCAGGACACCGAATTGCAATAGCCCTCTCCTGCTGTTGTCCTGCAGTGTTGAGTCAGTTGGAAATTGTGAACACAATGCTATCAAATTCAACACATATGTAAAGTGGGAAACTGCCAGAAGTACAACAAAGTCATTTTAACTTCAAAAGAGGAAACTTTTTTTAAAAAAGTGAGGTGATGAAAAAGGGCTGAAAAGGGAGGTCAGGAAGGTCAAATCTCTCCAGAACGCTTGAGGGTTGTTCAAAGCCATCAAACTTAATAAGAGCTCACACAGAATATATACACTGATCAGTAATGTACCAGAAGATACCAGCATAGAGTAAAAGAAAGCTTCTGTCAGAAAATGGTAGTCTTGCTCAAATGAGGAAAAGGAACTTTGTCAAAAGAAATAGAAAGTAGTTTTACTTCTATCCATGTTTAATTATGGGGGGGGGTGTTTGTGTGTGTGTGTGTGTGTGTTGTGTGTGTGTTTTAAAAAATGTTTCCCCCTCTATATTTTTAGCTATTATTTTTATCTGTAAGCTGCCTTGTGCCCCTGTCAGGGAAAAAGGTGGGACTTTGTGCAGAGAACACGTAAGAAAATAAAAAAGCTGTAAAGGTTCCTATGCAGTCAATATCTAAGGAAGATACCACTCACTTGGGGAGTATTCACTTTCATTCTGGTTTTAACAATAAGCAGTATTTGGATGGCTTTTCATAAATGCTTCAAGCACTCCACACATAATATTTTATTAATAACCGCAACAACCTTGTAATTTAAGGTCATTATTATCGCCCCTGTGTTACAGAGGAGGAGAGCAAGTTTGATAGGCTGTGTTTGTGGGCCAGTGTCTTCACAACTTTCTCCTAAGTGTTAAGTTCTGCGTTATATTTCGGAAAAAGCCGCTTTTGGAACTGTAGTGGAGTACAGTGCAAGTTCCATGCTCATCTCTATGTTATATGATTCGGGGGGGGGGGGTCAATTAGGAAATAATATGGAATTGAGTACCAAACCTGCAGCAGACTTGTTTTTCAGGCAGCTTGGTCAAATCTATGGGACAGTGAACGATCAGGTTGTGAACGTGATCCGTGCAGGAGGCATGTTTGTTACCTGCAGCATTCACAACCCGTGTCTGTGCACGTGTGGGTTGCAATTCGGTGCTTCTGCGCAAGCGAAAAGCACAATTTATCACTTCTGTGCATGCGTGACCGCCAAAACCCGGAAGTAACCCGTTCCGGTACTTCTGAGTTTCGGTGGTCCACAACCCGAAAAAAATGCTACCAGAAGCGCCTGTAACCCAAGGTATGACTTTATTGGATTGGAACCACAAATAGAATAGAGGTCCCACCAGGCCTCGGGTGGATCAGTCCAAAGGCCCATGGAGCCCAGCATCCTATTCTCAGAATGGTCAGCCATATGCCTATGGGATGCCTGCAAGCAGAGCTCAAGTTCAACAGCACATTCCCCCTCCTGAAATTTCCAGCAACTGGTACTCCTAGGCATACTGCCACCAACAGTGGAGGTAGGACACCACTATTGTTTCCCAACAGATTTTGAACAAGATGTTCAACCAAGCCTTGAGTAATACCTGAGATAAAATAACTTTTTCCCTCATCAAAATGGATTAGTATTGTGCGTGGAGACAGTGGCAGGTGAAATCTAAAGATTGTTCCTGTAGCCGAAACGGGAAGAAGTGGTTTTCCATCACTTTTCATCTTCCCTTCAATACACAGCCTGACCTTCAAATTTCAGCATCAACAGCGTTAGCCTCCAGGGTCAAGAGTGCTTGTGCAGCCAAGCCCAGCACAATTTCAATTTAATGGAAATTCATTGAGGAGTGTATACTTCAATAAAGGCTCAACCTAAAGAAATAGTGGTCAGGGGATTAAGGAAATCAAGCTTTCTTAAAAACAGCTGAGAACACGTCCAAGAAAAATGGGTAGTGATGTCATCTGAGATCCCTTGAGAACTTCCTCTGGCACCAGCGAAGCCTCTTAGCCCACTTCTCACTGCCTTATTTGTCATGGGGTGGTGAGGGTGGTACATTCCGCCTGGAAAAGTACATAGAGCTGCTTTCTTCTCACCTAGATGTGCTTCTCAAGGCTCAGATAGGAGCCAGAGCTGCCAAGCTACACTTTGAAAGCATGTAAAGAGGTAGAGTGAAACTCTTTCCCACTTACTCTTTCAGCTTTTAGGGATGGAGGAGAAATTTGATTCAGTAAAGCCTGAGAGACAAGTGGAAGGGGCCAACAAAGGCGGTTGGATTCAGTTAAGGGATCAGGCTCAATACACATTCATATTGCCTTGGAAATAAAGGAAGGTTTCTAAATATGGAACCTAACTAGAAGCTAGCAAAGTTCCTCAAAACAAAACCTACCTTTGGTCTGAAAGATCTCATTGAGTAATGGGATGAAAGGGCAACAGAAGACACAAGGCAATTATAAAAAGAGGTCAGTTGGAAGTGAAACATCAATGCTTTGACATTCCCTAGCCACAGATATGAAAAGTGGGGAAAAAATTAATATAATTTTCACACCTACTTAATTAATGATTTCTCATTAGCAGACTTCCTTCGTAAGATAGTAAATCATTGCTCCAATGCTCTGCCCAGTTCGACACCATTGAGCCTTCAATAGGGGAAAGGATGATTGCTTGCAAGGATGCATAACAAAGATGACATTTCAAACCCTTGGGGTTGGAAAGGGTCAATGACAAGCAGTGAGAAGAATGCTTTTTGCTAGGGAAACCTCAGGCCTGGGGACCAAATGCAGCTCTCTGGGTCTCTCTGGCCTTCAGGAGTCGACTCTACCCAGACCACATGTCTCATCATCCCTGCTCCATTATCTGTTTGAGAGCTTGCACCTTCTTAGAATGTGTCCTAGAATTCTGATCACATCTCTTGGTTGTCTGAATGGAGGACAGAGAGGGTTGTGTGTAGAAACAGTGTACAGAGGTGAAATTTGCATCCATTGTTCCTCCCACTTTTGACTCTGACACTGCTGATGGCCCCCAGAAGATTACCTAGAAGGAAATATGACCCTTGGACTGAAAAAGACCCTTGGTCACTGCACTATGGGTTCAGTTTCAGGTGGGAAAGTCATTCACAGTAGATTGCCAATACTACCAGTCATTTCTGTAGGGTTGTCATAGTTTGAATGCCGACTTCTACTTTTAACTATGGATTGCTATGATGACTCTACCCATGAAAAAGAGGATGTGCCCTGGAAAAAGAGGACATATGGCAACCCTACATTTTTGAAACTGCTAAACTCTGTGCCATGAACCTTCTCACACAAACCTTGACACTTTATGAGGAAATTGAAGAGGCTCACTAGTGAGCATGAAAAGCTTGGCAAGAGGAAGCCATTTTGGAAAAATAGAAGCCCTTTGTTAAACTAGTAAGGCAGACTAAGGCGCACCTCCATTCCACAGCCTCTCATCTTGTGCACACTGCTGTAGGAGTGAGGTCCTATGAGAGAAATTTAGTTTCTCAAGAGAAAACTGCTGTCAGGGTCTTGGTTCAGGCCCTACAGGCTCTGGGGTGTACAGGAGGTTTTTGGGGTGCTTCTGTCTCACAGCCTCAGGCACCATGGTCTCCTGATTTCCAGCAACCAGCTCAATGCTCTGAACTTGGACTGGATTCAGGGACTGTGATGGTGAACATATTTTGAACACGTCAAGATCCCTCTCACAGGACATTTGATGGTAGATTCAGGGAGGAGGGTTAGTATAGCTGAAGAAAGCCAGCCTCCCACTCTTTCTTGGAATCTTTCCCACCCGACAGTTGATGGTAGACCACCCTGTAGGGGATGGGGAGCTAATGTAGGCCCTGAGGTGGCTTTGCAAATGCTTTCACGTTCCCTCACATTCTTCTCCAAGCCAAACATACCCAGTTCATTCAACCGTTTCTCACAAGACTTATTTTCCCATGCAGCTGCTGACCGTTTTCATCAGCCTCCTCTCAGCTGCCCCCCCATTTGTTTACATCCTTCTTAATTTGCAGTACTCAGAATGGCACCCACATGAGGTCAATTACATCCACGTGTCATGTGTGCCCCATAGTTCCTTGTCGAGCTGCAATAGGTAAACCGGATCTGAAATGCATCCCCCGGGGAAGAAATACAACTGCTTTAAGTAAGCCAGGATAAATATGGAATTAGTTGAGGATTTTCATGGTAGTGAATGAGAAAGACAGTGTCGATGTACATAATCGTGACATTTTCCCAAGCAGTGAAAAGCTGGCTGGTGACATCAGCCATCAACAGAAAGAGACGTCAACATAGCTGGCACCATGTCTGTCAAATTCTCCCTAAAAGTTGGCACTTGTTACAGCTAATAAAGCCCAGCACCTCTAAACAGAGATGGAACTTGACTGAAACATTATGCCTGTGAAGCTAACCAGGATCTGAATGACATAGTTGGTCATTTTCCTTGCCACGCTGAGGAAAAATGGATTCTTGAAAGGTGTCTGAGGTTTACAGTGTGAATCATTGCCATGGAAGCTGATACCAATGATCAGAAGAGATGTTAAATTGTCAGCTCAGAGACTTCTTTTTGACATGGCTGACATTCACTTGTTATCCCTTCATTGCTGTCTTCCACACAATTGGAGTCCTTAGAAGAAAACCATTTGCTGTTCCCAATCCCAAAGACCTATCCGAGAGCCACTGACCAGGTC